TCTCAATCTTCCATTAAGTCTGTCGTCTCTGAGCTCTTCTCTTTGGCCTTCTTCTTTTGTGAGGCATGATTCCATCAAAAAATTCCACAAACCATTTTGGCTTACGATATGTAAACATTGAGACTCCACATGACAGTTCCAACAACTAGTCCAAAACTGTAGCCTATGACTACTGATTCCCACGTAAATCCACTAAAAAATATGACTCGCCTTCATCTTCTTCAGACTCCAATGGTTGAGGAACATGTGATGAATCACTCGTACCACATTGTTTTGATAAAGGAGGACCACATAAATCAAGGTTGCCACCATAAGAATCATTTTCAAATGTGTTGAATTGTAGACCATGAGGAATTGGTCCGATGAGATGATTTTGAGAGAGGTTAAAAACTGCCAAAAAGTTCATCCTTGTCAATTCCTGCGGAATCTTTCCAGTGAGCCGATTCCAAGAGAGATCTAAAGCTTCAATCGTATTCAATTGCCCCAATTCCATTGGAATAGCACCTATGAGATTGTTATGAGATAAATTGAGTAGCCAAAGTGAGCTGAGATCCTTTAGTGTTTTTGGAATCACACCTTCAAAATGGTTACTTGAGAGATCTCACTACAAGAAGTTTGATTATCAGTGACAAATTATTTTGTCACTTAAAGATAATATTTCGTCACAAAAAATTTTTTATGACGAAAAAAATTTCGTCAGTCTTCGTCTCTAAATGTGGGTCACTAAAAGTTTACAAAGACAATTTAGTGTTTTGTCGCTAGAAAGATTCTATTAACTACAAAAATAAAATTTGTCTCCAAATATGTAGCATTTATGACGAATTTGATCGTCTTAAAAAACGTAAAATTTTGTAGCTAGAAACTCATATCGTCACTAAAAATATGTTTAATACTGACAAATTTTATTTGTCCCTAATTATAAATTTAATTAGTGACGATATAAATTGTCTTTAAAGCTATGCATAATTTGTAGTTAAAAGAGTGTTATTACGTCACTAAAAGATATTAATTTTGTGGCTGAAAATTAGTTGTGATATACTAAATACGATATTAATGACGAATAGTTTGTCTCTCTTTATGGTATTAGTGATGAATAATTTGTCTCTCTATATGGTATTACTGACGAATAAATTGTTTCTCTATGTTGTCTCAATTAGATACATTTAAGTTAATTTTTTGCTAAAAATATAATTATGCTATCAATATGAAGGCTATTTTGGAATAAATTAGTTTTATCACTGAATAAAATTAATTTGTGACAACTAAAACATTAGTAATATGATTTACATTTTATAGATAAAGAATACCATTTTGAATTGCGACCAAAATATGATTTTTAAAATTATATAAATATCCAAGGATAAAATTATTTATAACAAATTGAATGTATTTAATGTTTTATAATAGTATTATTTAAATATGTAGTTAAACTGTTTGCCATTAATTACATGTATACTTCAATTTTTAAAAGTACATAGCTTTTGTAAATAAATAAATCAAAAAAAAAAAAAGAGGAACATAATACCAAAAATCCATACGAAACTATATAGTAATTACATTTCTAATTATTCAGGGATAACATTTGAGTACAAATTCATTGAGTAAATCAAGGGAAATCACTCAAAAAAAAGACCTAGATGAGGTACGGGAACAATGATAAATTTAAAAAAGATAAAAGTATGTAGTTTCCTCGTCTATTCGTGCTCTTTTATCTAAAATCTTCACTCATTGAGTCATTTTTGCACCTTTATGGACCTGTGTGTAAAAAAATATAATTTAGTATATACTTTTTGAAATCATAATTTAAACAAAATATAATTCTAAAATTAACATTAATTAGTGAAACAAATAATAGAATTAAAAAATTAGTTAATTTTATACAAAATCATTAACTATTCGATTATCACAATTTATAAACACTTATCTCCTTACCAAGATAATATCAAGAGTTCTTCCATTAAGATAATCCTTGTAAGGAGTTGAATAATAACTTCGTGAATAATGGTTCCTTATGCTAACCAAAGAAAATATTTTGTTTCTTATAGAGCATGGTAAATGTTGGATGGACATCATTTTAAAAATAGATAGAAAAAAGAAGATTGAGAGAAAATGCAGAGGAGTCTCTTTTTTTATGAAAAAATGTATTGCATTTGAGTTGGACTTGGATAGTTAAAGAGAGTGGGCAAATTTTGATTATTTTAAAAAAAATAAAATGAAAAGAAAGTTAGTGGGCAGTTCCTTGTGCCGTTATGCGTGGTTTACTGGATGGAAAATGGGAAATGGTGTGAGGGGGAATTTACACATTGAAAGTGGAGGGAAAAATTAATTGAAAGTAAAATTTGTTATTTTCTTTTCCCTCTAATAATTTCGTATAAAATATATTCTCAAAGTTATAATTTCTTTCACTTAATGAATTTCAATTGAATATTAAAACTATATTTTTATCTTTGTTTTTTTGTATTATGAATTATTTCAACACTTCTTACCTCATAAATTTTATTTGGTCAAAATGTGAAGCACATTGAGAAATAATTTTCTACATGAATGGACTTAATATTTAAATAATTGTATATATTAATTATAAGTGTCCACAAGTTTTTATATTTGAAATTGAATAATTTTTAATGATAATATTAAAATAAGTTCAGGTGTGTGAGACTCGCGCAATCAGAAAAATAATTGGAGTGTGGTAAAACGAATATGAACCAAGTTTAAGATAATGAGTATCAATCTCGTCCCTCAAAATCTTAGGTGTGACATTAATGTTTAGCGTAAAATTTATTTATTCGGAGAATCAGATGAATTTAATTGAAAGAGATTTAAAGTAACATAATTAATTCAAATGATATAAAAATTTTGAATTTTTTTTCTTCAAGATGGGGTAAAGAAAGGGATTATGAGATGGAGAATCAAATTATCACAAACAAGGTAAAAGTTCAAATAACCAACAAACTAAGTTACTAATATTATCCAAAATCCTGAATATGTAATCGAAGAAGTGAAATAATAATTTAATGGATAAACGAAACAATTAATAAAATCAAAGAATGAAATAACAAAAGAGGAAAATTTTGATTCGATCTCTTGAATCAGGTGGCGAATATTTCTGAAGAACATTGTTGAATAATATCTTGATGATAAGTCAGATATGTTACTATCATTGGATCGGGGGGTTCTTATAGGATAAACTACACTAACCATTTTCTTTAATAGTTCACACATTTCAATCATTCATTATAAGATGAGATTGTGATTTCTTACCGGAATTAAATGAAATTTAGAACCTTCACATATTAGTCATTTTAATGGAAAACTTACATAAATTTCACTAGTTTATGAGCTAATTACTTAGATACACTCTAGTTTATAATATTACGAATCTTATAAGATTTTGGTGCGTCCAGATATTTCCATATACATGGATCTTGGGATACATTGGGTCAATTTGGTGTAATTTGTTCTAAATACACCGTATCCAAGTGGATTCACATATATCTTGGATACATAAACGAATCCCGCTTGTCTCCCTCCCATCTCACTTGTCACTCTCCTAATTATCTGGGATACATGAGTATCTCCCTTCCAATCTCGCTCGATTCACTCACTATTATTCTAGTGTATCTGGTAGATGAAACGCTATATATAGGTGTATATATCTTTCTCAAAAGATGGTAGGAAACTCTTAATTAGTGGTAAGATATCTAATTATTTGAAAGTATTGGAAGAATAAGTATATGCGGTATGGATGTATATCTAATAAGTTAGTTTTTCCTTTTCAAAACTATAGGTTAGTTGAGTAGATATACTAGCTATGTTTGCTTAGATATGCAGTTTTTCCTATATTTTTCGTAGCCAATAATTACACTATTCATCAACTACGAAATTAAAGTTGTAGTCAATTGAAAATTCTATTTTTTTGTGACAAAAATTATTTTGGCTAAATTGTAGGTTAAATAGAGACAATGATAAAATTGTCACTAATTGTTCAAATTATTAGTGACAAAAAATAAGGTCACAATTAAAACATAAATTTTATGGTTAAATTCTTCAATGATTAACTACGATTTATAATTCGTCACTATTGTATCAACATAATTTTTGTGACGAAACTATTTTATGTCCAAAATTTAATTAATTTTAGGATAAAAAATGATTTGTCATATATTGGGTACTACTTCATTTAGTGACAAAATAATGTGTCACTGATAAATTTAGATTTATAGCTAATAGTACTCAATAAATGGCGCCAACTTATCTTTTGGAGGGAAATTATAGTGGACAAAACTTAGCTACAAATATTTGTGTTTCGTCACTAAAAGTATGTTCCTCATGTATTTAAATACAAAATATAACTTTCGTCACGAAAAATGAACAATTAGTGACAAATTTTATATTGTAGCTAATTATTTCGTAGCAATATATCACATTTGTTGTAGTGTCTATGGTTGTCATAATTGTGCTGATTCTTTCTAGCTCAATAGCCTGCCCTTTGATTACCAAACTCACTGAATCCTCATACGACCTACCAGATAACTCGCTCGCTATATATGGTGCCATGTACGTGATCCCTTTTGCAGAAACTAGGCCACTAAATTCTGTGTCTTCACCATCTAATTTAATCATTGCCTTGAAGTTTCCAAAAATTTTTGCAGGAAGTGAGCCACTGAAATCATTACGAGAAAGATCAAAAATTCGCAACTTGGGAAAGCAAAACTTAGTCTGACACGTAGTTATAGGTCCATGGAACTTGTTCGACTTTAATATAAGGACCTGCAGGTATTCAAGAATTCCGAGCCAAGATGGAAACGTGTCATTTATAGCATTGTTCCCCAAATCAAAGACTTCTAGACTATCACAGTTGAGCAATGACACAGGAACAGGTCCTTCAAATCGATTACCATTTATGACAATGGTACTCAACGAAGTGCTGTGTGCACATAATGGGGGAAGACTCCCTGTGAAATTGTTCCTTCTTAAGTCCAGCACCGTTAGTAAAGCCATGCTTCCCAAGCAATGTGGAACTGAGCCACTGAAGTAGTTGTGTGATAAATCTAATAAGATAAGTTTCCTCATGTTACAAATGGATGAAGGTAGTGGACCCTGAAGGAAGTTAAATCTCAGATCAAGAAACTGTAGGTTATAGTAACGAAATTGTGGTAGGTTGCCTGTTAATGAATTATGAGAAAGGTTTAGGAACTGCAACGAGTCCCACCTCATGCCGCTAAACCAGTTAGGGATTTGACCACAAATCTTATTGTTAGAAATATCCAAGTAGACAAGTGTCTTTACATTTCTCAAGAAGTGTGGAAAATCCTTTAGTTCACAAGATGATAAGAATAAAGATGATAGGCTAAGAAAGGTGATATTCATTCCCTCATCAATGGTGATGTTATTTGATGAAATTTCAAGGGTTTCAAGGTTTGTGAGATTCACAAGTGATTGAGGAAAAGAACCACTGAGTTGATTATTGCTTAAATGCAGTTCTCTTAATGTTGGGTTTGTTTTGATCACTTCATCGGCTAGTCCTCTGAATTGGTTATGTTGGAGCGACACTGAAGATAGCAAAGGTAGGCTAAACACCCAAGATGGTATGGTACCATTCAGTGAGTTGTATGACAAATCCACAGAAGTTAGCTTTTGAAGCATGCTTTGGTTGCTAGGCAGTGGGCCAGATAGGGAATTACTCGACAATCCTAAGTATTCAAGATGTGTCAAACTTAAAATTGAAGCGGGAAACGAACCGATGAAGCCGTTATAAGAAAGTGGTAAAGTACGTAGCTCTTGGAGGTTAGAGAAAACATCAGGAATTTCACCTGAAAAGGAGTTGTCAGAAAGTTGTAAACTTGTGAGGTGCTTCAATTTAGAGATTGTAGAAGGAATATGGCCAGTGAAATGATTATAAGATAAAACCAACTCCGTAATTTGTGTTAGGTTGCCTATGGAATCAGGAATGTGGCCAGTGAAATGATTATAAGATAAAATCAACTCTGTAATTTGTGTTAGGTTGCCAATGGAATCGGGAATGGAACCAGAGAATTGACATCCTCCGAGGTCCAAGATATTCAAGGATTTCAAGTTGCCAATTAAATGAGGCAGCTCACCAGAGATGCCTGTGAATGAAATATCCAACTCCATTAACAGAGTGTTGCTCCGGTGGATCTTTGGAAAAACTCCTTTGAGAAGATCATTACCACTCAATTTGAGCGTTTCCAAGCTGTTTGGCGGAAGGAAAAAGCTCTCTGTGAGAACACCTCGTAGATGAGTATATCCAAGATCCAGGTACCTTAAGGAAGAAGAAATATTGACAGGTATCGGAGATGAGATGTTGACATAAGAGAGAGAAAGTAGCTCCAAATGGGAAACAATCTTCGTAACACCAATCACTACAGTACTCTTCGGACATATTTTGAAAGGATTGTTTGTTTTCAGCAAATAATAGGATGGATGTTCTCTTCTTACAAATCAATCAGCATTATCCACATATATATATATATATATATATATATATATATACTAGTTTCAGTTGTCATACATACTGATTAATGTAATCCTACAAGTAAAGTTTCAAAAAGGTAGGATGTGCGCAGACCTTTATAAAGTAAGAATACAAACAACAAAAAATTTCAATGAAAAAATATAATATAAAGTTAGAATAATCAAATCTTACTCAAAACATTAATAAGATTATACAATGATATTGAAATAATTGAGCTTAATTTCATAAGTTGATATAATAATATTAAAATAGTATTGATTTCACTACATCAAAAATGATCTTTAACGGCAATTAATTAAGTTTAATTGCCGCTAAATATGTATTTTTAACGGCAATTTACACTCTTGCATATGTCCCTAAACCCTTTAGCAACATTGGATCTAATGACACTTAACTAGTACCGGTAAAATCTTTAACAATTTTTATTAATGTGTGTATTTATTGCCGCTAAAAGTTATTTTTGTTGTAGTGTTTGTTGCGGTGCTTGTAATTCAAAGAATACACCAAAAAACAAATTTGATCTTTTTTAACACCCAACAATTTATTTTGCGTGATGCAAAAGATTTTACCGTTTGGTAGACTTTAGAATATTTAATAATGAGAAAATAAAAATAGAAAGAGGAATAAAAAAGGTAAAAATAATAATATGGGTTCATAATGATCGCAATATATAAATAAGTCATTAAAATAAGTAGCCTAACAAGAAAGAATGTTATAATTAACTAAGTACTATTCGATTTCTTAATTATTACAACGACATCCACATTAAATAAAGTAAACATTTGATTAAACACTATTTCATAAAGTAACGTTGTTGACTTGTCTATGCATGGGACTATGAGGTATAAAATGGGGTACTAATTAATTTGTGGTTGCAAAAAAAGTTGTCCCAAGTGTTAACTCAATTTCCAGAAAGACTCAAGTATTTAAGTCAGTGTTGGTTGATAGTACCAATTATACAATAGAGGAAATAATAGCACGACTTTTGCATCACCAACGCAACTTGAGGTCCATGGATGAGTACTAGTCACTTCTAACAACTTGTTGCTCATATTTTGTAGTGTTCCACAAGACTTAATAAAATAATACTCTCTATGTCCTAATTTTCTCTTGATGTGGTGTTCATTTCAAGGTTATTAACTATCTCTGCAATGTGTGTTACGTAAGATGATGTGAAATTAGTTCCTATTGATTTTTTAATAAAGAAATTAAGAAAATAACAGAGAAAGACTTTGAGAGGAAAAATACTGCAATATTGTCAATGGAGATTATTTTATTAACTAGTAAAATTACTCGCGCTTCGCGCGGGAATTTGATATCACAAAATTTATAAAATAATACTTAAAATATATCGGTCATTAAAACTAAAACACTATGTTGTCTTACATACAAGATTACGTACCTAGTAACGAACATTAATAGTAAAAAAGGAAAATGATAATTATAACATCTTATCATTCATCCTTCAATCAATCATCTTTAATTTGATTTTATAATTTATCCTTTTGCCTCCAGAAAGTGTTACTATTTGATATTTTTGGGAAATTAGATGAACATCGACATGAGAAATTAAATTTTCTAATAAATAAATAATCTTTATCTGTAGTAACAAATACTTATAACAATAACTTTATAGAAACATAAACAACAAAGTGTAAACATGTACTCAAAAACAACAATTAATATCATAAGCATAAATTAATGACTGTAAGAAATATACCAGGATCTATAACAATAGAATGAAACAGATAGGAAAAAATTGAACCCACTGAATGCACAATGTCCCCTTAAGAAAATTATTCCCCTCTAGTACTCGAGGTTTAAAGGAATAGATCCTCTCAGGATGGAACGATTCTATTCACAAGTGTATTGATACAAAAAACAATGGTGTCAGTGAGTCACTCAACAGGAGCAAAAGTACACGAATATTTAATTGTGCAAAAAGAAGAAGAAGAAGTTCAAAAATTTTCGTGTTTTAAAAATGAGAGGAAATCCCTCTATTTATAGACAAAAAGGGTAGTGTGAACAAATGATTATTGTGTCTTATCGGAAATGTCACAACTCTTTGAAAAAGTTACAACCCTTTAGAAAGGGCACAACCTTTCATAAAAGTCGCAATTTTTCATAAAAATCGCAACTCTTCATAAAAGTCGCAACTGTTTATAAAAGTCACAACTTTTCATAAAAGTCACATTTTTTCATGAAAGGGGAAGGGTATTTTTGGAAATAAATAAATTTAAAAGGAAATTCTTGCTTGTGATGGCGCCACGTAAGCAGACATAGGGTTCTCTTTTATATAAATATATGATAATTCAGAGACATACATTTATAAATATAATTCCTAATTAAAAATAGAAAAATATGTTACTTAACATCTGTAAATATAATACCGTGTGGAATTTTATTTTGTTCTTTTAAGCCAAAGTCTTTAATAAGCCAATTTCCACAAAGACTACATGTGGGAAAAAGGACAAATGTGATACAGTTCAAGTGGAGTAGTACACATTTTCAGTTTTTCTACATTACATGTAGATGAAGCATCATTATATGTTTGTGTGATTCATCAATTACTAGTGATTACGATAAAATGGTTTGATCATTTTCTAAAGTTTATATAATAAATAAATATGACATTTAATTTGACTTCAACTAATATCTATGCTCTTCAACTTTGAGCGTGCACAAGTAGACACTAAATTTATATAAATTTGAACTAATAGACACATTCATCCGACATAACAATTTTATGTCTTATATGACATTCTATGTGTATTATGTCACGTAGGACGTGTGAGTCTACATATTTTTCTCAATTTTAAAAAAGGAATATCAATATCCACAACAGAAATTCTGATCATAATAGAGCAACTGATTTTTTAGTCGTCACAAATCTTCAAAAAAGTCACAACTCATCGGGAAAGTCACAACTCTTCAATGTGAAAAAAATATATGTTTTAATATAATATAAACAAACATATAAATAAATATAAATATAAAATATAGAAGATATACTAAATTGAGTATTTTTAGTTGATGATATTATAGTAATCTAACATTTAAGTTAGAGAGTTTATAATTTTAAAGTAGTACTAGTTTTGATGCACGTGTGTTGCACGTGAATGCCAAATCATGTAGTACACTAAATTTTAAATTAATTAAATAAATATAATATATTATAAAATATAGAAAATATACTAAATTAAGTGTTTTAAGTTGAAAATATTATAGTAATTTACATTCTTTTAAGATAGTATAGATGAATAAGTAGAAATTTGAACTCCTATTTTAAGTCATCCCTGTCCTCATTGAACCAATTATGAGAACAGTTAATAGAGAAACCAATTATGTGAATGCAATAAATTTTTATGCAATTTTTCTATGGAATTTATACAATCATAAAAGGTTAATATTCCAAGTTAGTAATTAGTTGTCTCTTCTGCTATTTTCAAACTTGTTAGGTACACAATAGTTTTCACATTTTTAAAGTTATTGAGGGAAAATCCATCAATATTTGATTCCACCTAAGGAAAAAAGTGATACAGTATTGTAACTAGCGGAAGATGACTTGTAAGCCTTTCAGCCAATTTCCACAAAGACTAGAGGAAAAAAAAGATTATGATGAATCGGAACTGATGAACAATTGAATTACAAGATGAGTACTAGTCACTTCTATCAAGTTGTTACTCATATTTTGTAGTGTTTCACAAGACTTTTTAGAGGACGGAGAAAACTTAACAAAATAATACTCTCTATGTCCTAATTTTCTCTAGATGTTGAGTTCATTTCGAGGTCATTAACTATCGCTGCAATGTGTGTTAGGCAAGATAATGTGAAGTTGGTCCCATTATGTGGAAAAATTTTCTGCAGAACTTCTAAGAAATTGCCAAATGAGAGAAACTATTTCTTGACTAAGTCAAGTGAGGAAAAATTGAACAATAATACCGTGTGGAATTTATTTTTTTTCTTTTATTTGCTTTTTATTCAAAATTTTGTTTGATATGTGTCTTAATTTTCTGCATAATTAGCATGTTTTGAATAACTTGGTGAAGATCATTTTATGAGAAATTTCCAAGACTTTTCATATTTAGTTAATGAGGGAAACTCCATCTATATGATACAGTTCAAACATGAAGAGATGGAGAATAACCAAAGTAGTAGAGAGGCTGTTTTCGTAGACCACTACAAAAAAAATGTGAATTATAATTGGGATTTTTTTTGGGGATTATTAATGAAAATTCGCAGGAAAATATGTTTCCTACGGATTTTCCTATTAAAAAAAATCCCAAGGTAAAACCTTCGTAGGTAATTATTTTCTGTGAATTTCAAAATCCCCAAGTAATTTACCTAGGGATTTAAATTTCGCAGGTAAATAACTTGCGAATTTTCTTGCAAAAAACACCAAAAATATCCCAATTTTTTTCCAATTTATTAGCAAGTAAATCTGCGTAAAGATATTTTAATAAATCTTTAAAAATTTCTTGTAAATAATATTAATTATTATTTCCCAGTTACACCTAACACCACTCACCCCACTGCCCACCCATTTATCTTGCATACCATTCATCACATACCACTTGAACACAATTTTAATTCCCCCACTCAGAGTGCCCAGTTGAATTTGTTGGTGCCCACCCATTTATTGTTGCTCTTTGAAATTTTATTCTACTTGTGTTTAGTCGTAGCATTATAAATGCTAATCTTTTCATGTCATATCAATAAGGTAAAAAATATATATCTTAAATGTTGGCTAAAGTTCATTTGATTTAACTCTTAAAAAGTGAAACTATATATTTAAAATAAATCACCACCACCCAACATATCATGAAAATTTTATGCTTACACTTTCTATGAGATAATATCCATAGCTAAGCATATTAAACGTAGACAAAATTTATATTATACATACAAAGTTCTTATAAATAAATAATTGAAAGTATAAATAAATCTATATGTTTAAATTAAAGTGCAAGAAAGTTATAACCAAAAATTGATAGTACATCTTATTAGGTATTTGTGGTTTTATAATTTTAATTTATCTTTTAATAATTATATTTTAACATACTTAATAATATTTGCAAATAAATAACATTTAATAACTTACTATAGAGAAATTATATCATATTTAATGCTTGTAAGAAAAAATTATATATAAATTTGATATATAGTTAAAATTTATTTATTTTTCATTTAATATAATTCTATCAACTAGGGGTTGATTAAAATTCACATTAATAATGTATATAATTTAATTTTACTCTACTTAAACAGTGATTGACTTATTCAATAATACGAAATTTAATATAAAGTAATATCTAATAAAAAATAAATATATTTATGATAGTTATTTTTCTAAGGATAAATAACTAGCCATATAATTTTAATGCTTTGTATCTTTCAAAAA